CACAGTGTTCATACGGTTTTGATGGAAAGAGGACAAAGAACACATGTGTTTGCTTGAGCCTAGACTCAGAGTTAGTATGTCATGACTTCTGTTGATCAAAGTGAGCCACAGGCCTACCAGAGTCAAAGGGAAGGCCAATCAGCTCTGTCCCTGTATTGACAGGAATTACAATACTGCATTACAAAAGTGCATGGTTGTGGAGATCAGCAAAGAGTTTCGGTCCTTTTGTCATTTCCTGTATGCACTTAAGCTTTCCCCCACGACATAGCTGTAATAAGCATTTCCTTTTGCGGAACAATTGTTTTGATATGCAGGAAATATTGATCCATCATACTTATGAAGAAAATTACAAGACAGAAAGGATTATTTGGGCATCATAATTCTTCAGAAGAATGAAATCTGCCTTAAGGCACCAGTTTCATTTCTTAAGTGAGAGAATGTTACTCTTCCCACTCTGGACTCCAGTGTTACTTTAATTAATATGACTCCAATGAAATGTGTGCAATTGCATTAATATGTGATACTATTTTTTACTTTGCATCAAGCACCACTCTCTGTTATAGGCATACAAAAAAGTGTTTGCTCGACTAAGGTTCCTTCTCATCGTGGACTGTGTTGCCCATGAATTTGGTATTGTCTGGTACTGGTTCAAAAAGCATTCTATTCTTTTTAAGAAATCTTACTATCAGAGGAATCTGATTCATTAGAGAATTTTGAGTGTTTACTAGTCAGCCTCTTCTGGGTGACCATTTTATCCTAAAGAGCACCAAAACGTGTATATTTTAAATAATTCTTATTTTCATTTTACAAAATCAAAATGCCTTGCACAAGACTACTAATAGCAATGCATTATATTTGAGAGAAGTTCACACTACCAAAAATTATTTCATACCGCAAGTTCAGTGAGTTTACATCATAAGTGTAAGTGTACTTTGTAGTATACAGTGAATAGATATGCAGGAAAACTAATAATATGAAAAATAGAAGCACGTATTCTCTTTCTTTCTTTCTTTCTTTCTTTCTTTCTCTCTTTCTTTCTTTCTTTCTTTCTTTCTTTCTTTCTTTCTTTCTTTCTTTTTTTAGATACCGGGTTTTTCTTTGTAATACCTAGCTGCCTTGGAACTAGCTCTGTAGACCAGGCTAGCCTCGAACTCACAGAGATCCACCAGCCTCTGCCTCCAGAGTGCTGGGATTAAGGGTGTGCGCCATCACCACTCCCACTATATATCACACTTTCATTATCATTCATCGGTTGCTAGACAGCTAAGTTGATTCCATTTCCTAGTTTTTGTTAGTAGAGAATCAATGAACATGTATATATTAAGTATTTCCATATTAAGAAATAAAGTCCTTAGGGTATATTCCTAGGAGTGGCCGGCCCTATGGTGTTTCTGAGAACCCTCCAAATGATTTCTGTAAAAATGTTTTCCCCTTCTTCACATCCATGACAGCATTTGCTGTCGTTTGTATTTCTGATGATGGCCATTCTGACTGGAGAGAAATGGGATGTTAATGTGGTTTTAACCTGTACCTCCTTGATTTAGGGTTAGCATCGCACTTTTTAATCTTCTACCCGATTAACTGGTTGCTGCTCATGAGCAAAGTGGATGCCTTAGCTGGATTTGACTGACATGGATCGGCCTCTAGAAAAAAGGAAACTTCATTAATTTCAAAGTACATACAAACGTTAATTATCCCAGAAGGAAAAATGCCAAGTGGGAGCTTCTATTTCAGTAAAACTCATGGGTCTCTAGCTGGGAATAGGAAAGGTGGGTGGGGAGGAGAGAGCAGGGCTTCCGTTCATTTGCTGGCTCACTGCAATCCAGCGGGGCCCTGAAATCAGCCATGTGAAAGACATTTATTTTTATGATTCTGTTTTCAGTGCCGCCTTGCAGCCTCGAGCCTTGGGAAGTCCCTCAATACTTACTGAGCACTGGGCCACGACCAGTGTGGCTTTCCAAGACGCCTGACTGTGTGGATGTGGGTGGCCTCTGGAATGTCAGAAGACAAGGTGAACACTGTACTCGGTTTCCCTCATAAAGCATCAGCTTTGCTGAGCTGCAGCCTGGCATGGACAACATGTACACATTTCTAAAAATAATAAACAATATCTGTGTGCCCACTGGTGAGCGGAAATAATGTATGACAGGCGACCAGCACAATCATAAAACACTTTCTGCATTTTTCTTCAAAGGGAAGGCTCTCATGTCTTTACGTAAGTTTATTTCAGCTTTCTAGTTTCGATGTATTGTGTGTGAAGATTCCGTGACATCCCTCCAAGGTAAAAAAATCTCAGCTTTGTTTGGTTGGCAGAAGGAATTGCTTCTCCTGACATTTAGACCTATGGATTTATTTCCGAGTCGCCTCGAGGGAGTTTTCGTGTTTATTTCTTTCTGAATTGCCACTAGGAAACTAAACATTTCAATATTCCAAGCATGTGCACCAATAAGCATGACGAAGAAGCATTAGAAAAAAAGTTTGATGCCATAACATTTTTGGCAACCATACCTGTTTGTATTGGGGAGGATATAGATGAATGTAGACATCTGCAAAGAAATAACAGCGAGGAGTAAATAAACAAGTGAAGAACAGGAAAGTAAACGAGCTTCTGAAAGAAGTTCAAAACGCCCGTTTTCCCTCACATTTAATTATAAGTTGTATATGCTGTTTTCTTTGCAGACAATTCTGTGAACTTTGGATTTTGGATTTGTGTTCCAACTCTCTCATCTACTTACCCTAAAAGTGGAGGAAGAAAGCCCTGAGAATTCTGCCAACATCAGGGGCATAACCCGAGCTTATAGCTCACTCAGATCTCTAAATTACAGAAAATTTAAAATGTCCAATGGAAAAAAGTTTCAAGAGGAATATGAGAATTCGTTTGGGGCAGGTCGAGTTTAATATCATTATTGAATTTGTATAGCTTTTGGTTAGTGCTTAAGTGATTGGCTGAATGGAACAGAAGTACGGGGTGGAATTTCTATTTGGAAGTCAAGTGGTTTGTGGAGCTACAGTTCTGCACATGTATTAATTCCATTTACAGATAGGAAAAACCAAGACACAGAAAGGCTGAGTAAATGGCATGGTGTTCCAGACATGATGTGAAGCAATAAACCCACTAGTCCCTGAGATGCTATTGGTTGCCAAGGAACAAACTCATTGAAGCAAAAGAAAGACCAGAGGGACTGGGCGTTTAGAAAGAACTGAGTGTTCTTGAGTGCTCTGCTGAGTCTCCGAGTGTGTGCTTTGTCCAACACCCACAGTAAAAGTTCCCTTTCTTTCTTTCTTTCTTTCTTTCTTTCTTTCTTTCTTTCTTTCTTTCTTTCTTCCTTCCTTCCTTCCTTCCTTCCTTCCTTCCTTCCCCCTTCCTTCCTTCCTTCCTTCCTTCCTTCCTTCCTTCCTTCCTTTCTTTCTTTTTTTTTTGCTTCTGTTTTTTGAGACAGGGTTTCTCTGTGTAGTCCTGATTGTCCTGTAATTCACTCTGTTGACGACCAGCCTGGCCTTGAACTCACAGAGATCCACCTGCTCCTCAGTTCCTAGTACTGGGCTTAAAGGTGTGTGCCACTACTGTCCGGGCACAGAAGTTTCTTAAGTAAGATGCCCCATCGTGCTTCAGTTCTCTCTAGTTTATCTGTGTTAGTTTCTTGTTCATTCCTTTATAGAGTGAGCTATAAGGAAAATATAGTCCTATTCCTGCGGAATCCCGCAGGTAAATGGATGCATTTCTCACAATAGTTTCTATCCCTTTACTCTAAACTTACACTTTCTTACGTCTTCAGCTAAAATATTTCTCCTTCAATCTTTAATGACAGCGAAGAATTCCTGCAGAACAATAAGCGCATTTCAAAAGGGAATCTGAAGAACCGACTTCCAAAATCGGTTCATCCTCTAAGAGCTGCGTGAGGAATCCAGTGTTGGGAATTCAGCAGGGAAATGGACGTTCCTGTCAAATCGATGACATATGGAATTGTTTCCTTTGGGCTCCTCCTAGTCCTCATGACTAGCATTCAACACCCATTTAGGCCTGCATACACACGTCTATTCATCCATTTTCCCCAAACAACTCATTTATTGTGGTCCTAGTACATACCAGGCACCGTTTTTCCAATGACCCCTCAAATACAAAACTTTTCCCAGTCACCAGAAGTCTCTTGTTTCAAGGTCAGGTTCACATGGACTCCCAAGGTCATTAATCCGTGAGCTCTGGATCTTTTTCTCTGCCTATTTATCTGTCTGTTCTCTCCATAGAGATAGCTGTAAGAGGTCTCTCTCACGTGGGACATGAAACTCCTGATTTCACGAACCATCACAAGCAGAAATACAAACAGACAGCTTAACAATATTAAGAGTCAAGGTGAAGGACTTCCTGAATGACCTCCACAAAGGCTCCAGCTGAAAATGAGGCTGCGGGAAGTGTCTAAAGTCGAGGCAGGGATAACCATCTTCTTCAGTGTTCCTCTGAGGCATTGTTACCAGGAAGGTAGCGAACAAGAGAAATAAATACAGGGCCCCAAGCATAGTTCACCATGTTGTTGCTTCCTACTTAGGAAACCCACTGAAACTCATTCTCTTTGTTTCCTGGTTGTGATCTGGAGACCTGTTGAAAGTATTCTCCTTTTGTGTGTGAGTGGTGGGGGATTATGCAATAAATAAATAAATAAATAAATAAATAAAAGAAAGAAAAGCAAATCAACAGTGAGAAAATCTGAAGGATAATTTACATATGACTTAGACTATATATAAATTTAATAGCTTCTTAATTAGCCTTTCTTACTTCACAAGAGAGCAATGGCATCTGACTGCTTCTCCCCAAGGCTTCAGCTTTCCAGTCAGTTGAGCGCTTGTCTTCTGTCGAGAGTATTGCCGGGCTCAACTTCCGCGGTCGGCGAGACCGCCCAGCGCCACGGTGTGCATTCCCTGTGACTCCGTTTACAGTGCTAATGGATACAGTGTCTGGGTCTGGACCTGGCAGGCTCTTTCTCATGTTCCCTAAGAAAACACCGCAGACTTCCTCATAGTCGTCCAAGACGGCGTATGGAACACACATTTCAACTTTCCCATGTGTCGCCATCTTGACATAAACTTTTAGCCAGAGCGAGGAAAATCATTTCAGTGATTGCTTCCTTATAAGCGCCGTTTGTGCTGCCCAGTTTTATGTTAACTTGACATAAACCAGAGTCGTTTGGGAAGGGGAAACTTCTGCTGAAAAAAAAAAAAAAAGGTGCTCTCCTGATTGGCCTGTGGACAAGCCTGTGTGGTATTTCCTTAACTGATGTTTGATGTGGGAGGCCTAGCCTAGTGGGCAGTGCCACTCTGGGGTGGTGGTCCCGCGCTTTAAGCGTGCTGAGCCAGCCCTGAGGACCAAGACGGTAAGCAGCGTTCAACTGGGATGTGGAACCGGAAGCTGAAATATGTGCTTTTCTCCCCGAGTTGCTCTTGGTCATGGTGGTTTTGTTTGTTTCTTTGTTTTGTTTTGTTTCTTTTGACTTTTGGAGACAGACTTGCTCAGTGTAACAACCCTGGCTGTCCTGGACTCACTTTGTAGATCAGGTTGACCTGGAATTCAACAGAGATCCTTTTGCCTCTGCCTCCCGAGAGCTGGCGTTAAAGGCGTGCACCACCACACCTGGCTGGTCTTGGTGCTTTTTATAGTAGCAGTTGAAACCCTAAGACACCACCCAGCTGTAAAACTGGTGACATGGGACTTAAGGATATCACAATGACCTGAGCTAGGGCACGGCTGTTCTTGTCATAACTGAGACGATACTGGCGGCCGAATTGTTATTTAGAGTGACAGCGAACGCCTGTCATGGATTTATCTTAATCTCGCGTCTTAAGAAGTGTTTTCTTTACTTATTCCTAAGACTTTCATATAGGTACACGATGGAATATTATCCACACCATTTGTGAAGCTGTAGAGTTCTTTTTAAAATTCATTTAATATTATTTTTATGTGCTTTGGTGTGAGGGTGTCAGGTCCCCTGGAACTGGAATTACAGACAGCTGTGAGCTGCCATGTGGGTGCTGGAAATTGAACCTGGGTCTTCTGGAAGAGCAGCCTGTGCTCTTAACCCCGAGCCACCTCTCCAGCCCAGGTATGTAACTCTTAAAGAGTGAGCTCATCTCTGCTCTCACCATCTGTGACACGGACTGGATGATCGGTTAGAGGGTTTTATTTTTCTCTGTGGTGGAAATCCCTCAAGTTCTAAATGTGGATGAATAGCTTCGAGCAGACTCGAACTCTTGAGACACTGCCCTGGGGTAATCCATGACCAACAGGGCAGAGCCTGCCATCCTGATAGTGCCTATGAGTCTAGGCGTTTTACCCCAAATTCTTTTTTTTTTTTTTCCACTTTGAATTTCCCTTTATCGGCTATACCAGAACAGTCCATCGCAATGAAATATATTTGCATTTCCTGAGTAGGGAATCAACGGAATGATGCTGATTATTAAAGAGCTAAGAGACCACCGTGTGCCCTCTTCATGACAACTGTTTGTTCTTCAAGAGTTCCCCGCTCAGGATCGAGTTCAGACAACGCCACCGTCTGAAGTTTCCTCGCACAGTGTTTAATTAATCTCTGTCCTTGGAGTTCATAAATTAACAGGCCCTGTGATTTCCTCCTCGTGATAACCTCTGGCTGTTTTCACTGCCTCCACAGCTACTGGCAGGCAGCTGGTCTCCCACATTCCCTCAAAGTAAACAGGAATTTGGTCCCTGGGTAACTGGCTGCTTTCCAGGGTAAGAATTTGAGTTATTCATGAGCTTTGTGGGCCTGGCTTCTGCCTAAGCCAGACTGTTTTCATAAGGGAGAGCACAGACAAAAAGAATTATGGAAGGTTTGAATCTTGAGGATTATTCCTTTCAAGTGTGTGATAACCTCTGATTCTTCTCCCCGGATAGTTTCTAAACCCTCTCTTGACCTCCCCTACCACCTCACATGCCGTGGTGGTCACTGGAAATTTACCAAGGAAGCTGCCTTGAAATCATGGGTCCTTTCCAGAACGCAGCTGACCTACACAGATGTTCCCAGGCTATTCTTTTCAGATAGAATATGCTGACATAGCTTTGAAAATTAAGTTTTTGGCTGGACAATGGTGGCACACATCTTTAATCCCAACACTTGAGAGGCAGAGGCAGGTGGATCCCAGAGTTCGAGGCCAGCCTGGTCTACAGAGCAAGTTTCTGGACAGCCAAGGGTACATAAAGAAATCCTGTCTTGAAAAGACAACAGCAACAACAAAAAATTAAATTTTCATGAGACTATAGGGGTAACTGCCTAGATTACAAAAGATTCAAAAATAAATATTAAGATAATAATGGAGAAAAAGACATGTTTTCAAGGGTAAGAGTGCATGGACTCTGAATTTTGATTATACTGAATTATGAATTATACTAATATGCTTTATCAGAGCAAGAAATTAATAAGCTTAAATTTTTAAAAAGCAAAGGAGTTACCTATGCAATATGTTTGGAGACTGGTCACCTGGAAGATGGCTCTCCTTTGTGAGGTCACCTGAGAGGGTCATACGTGAGCACTAATTTCGAGTGAATGACCCTGACCTCTAGGCTCCAGGATATTATCATTTGCTGTTAAAGATGCAATTGCTTCAGTTTACCAAACAGCCTATGTGAACGGCCAAAGGACAAACGTTCGGTATATCACACAGTCTGATTTGTAGAAATATTTCTTTTTTAGTGAAAAGTTTTATGGAAAAATAGGGATTTTTGTTGTAATATGACTTATAAACAAACTGATTC